GCGATGATGGGCTCAAGTATAGCAGGGATTGTGGGGCTGGCGCGGGATCGGGCAGTGTTTCGTTCTGCTGTGCATGGGGTCACTATGAGTCAGAAACGACTCGACGGCACTTAACAACAACAACAACATACGGTGTGAGGCAGGATGAGGTTCTTTTTTTCACCTATGGATATCCAATTGCTCCAGTAACATGTGTTGGAAAGTCTGTCTTTCCTCCGTTGAATTGCTTTTGCTTTTTGTCAAAAATCAGTTGGGCAAATATATATGAGTCTATTTCTGGATATTGCATTCTATCACATTGATCTATGTACCTCTCCTCCACCAATACTATAATCTTAATCACAAAACCACTGCCATCGAGTCAATTCTGACTCATAGTCACCACCATAGGGTTCCCAAGGCTGTTAATCTTTATGGAAGCAGACCACCTCATCTTTCTCCAGTGGAACAGCTGGTGGGTTCAAACCATGGACCTTTTGGTTAGCAGCCCAATGCTTTAACCATAGCACCACCAGAGCTTCTTCACATAATGAATGATAACCAGGTTATTAAGTTATTTGCACGTAGCCACAGAAATCTTGAAACTGAGTGACCTGATTCCTCCCACTTTATTCTCAAAATCATTTTAGCTATGCTAGCTTCTTTGCTTTTTCCATATAAATTTTAGAATAATCTTTTCTATAGCTACAAAAAAACTTGCTGAGATTGTTATAGGAATTGTGTTAAACCTGTATACCATTTTGGGAAGAACTGACATCTTTACTATGTTGACTCTTTCAATCCATGAACATGATATGTCCCGCCATGAACTTAGATATTCCTTGATTTCTTTCATCAGCATTATGTAGCAATCATCATACAAGTCCTATACATGTTTTATTATTTTGAATATAAGTATTTTATTTTTGTAGCAATTTTACATTATACTATATTTTTAATTTTGATATCCACATATTCATTACTATTATATACAAATGCAATTTAGTTTTGTATATTTATCTTGTTTTCTGTGACATTAATGAACTCAATTAGCTCTAAGAGATTTTTTTGTAGATTCTTGGTTATTTTCTATGGGGACAATCATGTCATCAACAAACAAGTGCAATTTTATTTCTTCCTTTCTTATCTACATGCCTTTTAATATAAGTCCTTTTTTGACTCATTTCCCTGGCTAAAACTTCCAGCATTGTGTTCAATAAAAGTGATTAGAGTGGACATCTCTGCCTTTTCCTAATTTAGGGGGAAAGCATTTAATTTTTTACATTAGTGTAATGTTAGCTGTAGGTTTTGAGATATTCTTTATCAAAGTGAAGAAATTCCCCTCTAGTCCTAGTTTTCTGAGAGATTTGGTCATGAATAAGTGTTAAATTTTATTTAAAAAAAAAATTCTACATTAATTGATATGAGCATGTGGGTTTTCTTCTTGTTGTGGTTAGTTGCTACCAAGTCAGCTGTGACTCATAGCCACTTTATGGAAAACAGAACAAAATGTTGGCCAGTCCAGCATCATCTTCATAATCATTGCTATCTATGTTTGAGTCCATTGCTTTGGCTATTATGTCAGTCTATCTTATTGAGGGTCTCCCTTATTTTCACTGACCAAACTTATTGTCTGCATTACCAAACATGATGTCCTTTTCTAGTGATTGGTCTTTCCTGATGACATGCGCAAGGGAAGCAAGCTGAAGTCTCACTATTCTTGCTTCAAAGGAGCATGCTGGTTGTATTTCTTGTAAAACTGACTTGTTATTCTTTTAGCAGTCCACAGTATATTCAGTATTACTCATCATTATGATGAATAATATTATTTGTCAATATTATTCATTAATATGGTGGGTTACATTGATTAATTTTTGAATATTGAATCAACCTTACATCCCTGAAATACACTCTCTTGATCATGGTGTATATTTTTTATATACTGATAAATTCTACTTACTAGCATTATGTTAAGTATTTTTGCATCTGTATTTATGTGGGATATTAGCTTACAGTTTTGTTTTGTACTTATTTTGTCTGATTTTGGTATCAGGGTAATATCAACTGCATAATATTAATTGGAAAGTGCTCTCTCTCCCTCTACTTTCTGGAAGATATTGTGCAGAAATGGTATTCATTCTTCTTTAAAAGTTTAGTAGAATTCTACGGTGGAATCATTTGGATCTGGAGATTTGTTTTGAGGGACTTTTTAAATTACAAATTCAAATTCCTCACTAGTTATAGGGCTATTCAAGTTATTTACTTCCTACTTGGAGAGCTGTGATAATTTGTGGGTTTTGTGAAGTAATGATCAATTTCATCTAAGTTGTCAAATTTCTTTTTGTAGACTTGTTTGCAGTAATTCTGTATTATCCTTTTAGCATCTGCAGTGTCTGTAGTTATATCTCATGTTTTATTCATGCCATTGGTAATTTGTGTCTTTTCTGTTATTCTTTGTCAGTCTCATTAGAGGTTTATCAATTTTGCATATCATGATTAAATGAGAAAATCCATCCAAAGTAACTATATAATGTGTGTGCAATGCAAGCACTCAATAAATGTTTTTATGTCAGATAGATGAATTGAATTCTCTGAAACAGCACTGTTATATGGTATACAACTAAATTCAGATTTAACATTTACGTCAAAACTTCATCATATACCATTACTCTCTTCTTTCTTTGACTGCATTTGATCCAATTCCAAAAGGTTGCCTTCCAAAGTATCATCAGTGTTTCCTTCATAAGGAAATCTTAATCTATACCCCTTTCCTCTTCCTTAGAAACTACTTGAAATTTTAAAAATACTTCTAACAAAGATTAATAAAGTTGACAAACCACTGGCAAATTTAACACAGGAAAAGAGGGAGAGAATACAAATAACATGAGTAAGAAATGAATTGGGAAACACCACAACAGAACCAACAGAAATTAAAAGGATAATATCAGGATACTATGAAGAACTATACTCCAACAAATTTGAAAATCTAGAAGAAATGGACAGATTTCTAGAAACATACTACTTACCTAAACTAACAGAGGCTGAGGTAGAAAATTTAAACAGATTCATAACAAAACAAGAAATTGAACAGGTCATTAAAAAATTACCAACAAAAAAAAGCCCTGACCAAGATGGTTTCACTGGCAAATTCTACCAATGTTCAGACAAGAATTGACATCAACCCTATTCAAACTATTCCAGAATACAGAAAAGAATGGAATCCTCCCAAATTCATGTTATGAAGCTAGCATAACCTTGATACCAAAACCAAGCAAAGACATCACTCAAAAGGAAAAGTACAGACCAACATCCCTCATTAACATAGATGCAAAAATCTTCAACAAAATACTAGCCAATGGACTCCAACAACATATCAAGAAAATCATTCATTATGACCAAGTGGGGGGTCATACCAGGTATGCAAGGATGGTTCAACATTAGAAAAACAATCAACATCATCCACCACATAAGAAAAAAAACAAAGAAAAAGAACCACATGATCATATCAATTGATGCAGAAAAGGCATTTGATAAAAACCAACACCCATTCCTGATTAAAAAAAAAAACTCTCAGGCAAAATGGGAATAGAAGGGAAATTCCTCAACATAGCAAATGGCATCTATGCAAAACCAACAGCCAACATTATTCTCA